GCTCAGGCTGAACTGAGAGATTCACATCACATCCTTATCCCTGTTTCCTGTTTTTCATTCTCAAACGGTACATTTGATTTGTTTCAGTGTGAGGCGTTTAATGAAGATCTGCTGCTTCTTTTCTCTCGTCTACATCATGCCAAACACTTTCTAGATGTCACTGAGGAAAACAAAGAGAGTGAGGCATGAAGGTGCTTAGAAGTGTTGAGCTTGTGATTTGAAGAGCAGTTTTAAGGAAGAATCGATGACAACTTATTCAGTTGCAAACGTGAGGATTAAAACTTCATGTTCACAAACAGTCATGTACTGTAGAGTGAGTTTTTAAAAGTAGATATATGACAGGGAATGTAGTAATAAATATGAACGCCAAGAGTCACCAAAGCAAAGCCCGACCGAAACCTCAACCTCAATAAACAAGAAATCTTTTGGAAAATGGCTGATTATGTCGGTTGAATGGTCACAGTAAAAGGCTAACTACAACGAAATTTGGTTGGTGACAAACAACCCAGCAGCAAACTATGAGATAAAAAAAAGATAAAAATAAGATAAAAATATATTAAAGGTCCCATATTCTTCTTCTTCTGGTTTTATCTGCTCTTTAGTGTGTTTTCTAAGTGTCCTGTGCATGTTTAGTCACATCTATGTGCAAAAAGTCAAAGTCCGCAGAAACACAGCTTCTCCTACGTCCTCCTGTTAGCTGTAGCATTAGCTGCATGTAACGCTCGGTTCTAGCCCCCCTCGAAAAAAAAATGTCAGTGTGACGTCATTGTCAGTGTGAGATCACTGATCTAAGCCCATTGGCTCGTTGTGGCCCAGCAGCTCATGTTGCACGCCCGTTAACTTCTGTAGCACGCCCACGATATGCCGCAGCCTGCGGTAGCACAGTAGTGCTAACGTGCTAATGTCTATGCTACCCTCGGACGGAGCCAGTGGCTGCATTCCCAATATGGTAAAAGAGGCGGGACATTTCCGAGAACCGTGCTGAGCGACTGACCAATTACGGCAGAGCCGCCAGGCCGACCAATCAGATCAGACTTGGCCCACGTGGGGACTCTGAACGTGGGCACTTCAGAGCCTTAGAGAGAGAGTCAGAAGAGAGCCGGTGCACGGAGCGGCAGTTCATGAAAACAGACACTTTTTTATAACTTTAGTTATTGTGAACATACTTTAGTACATAGATTAAATATATGAACCCCAAAAAGAGCAGAATATGACCTCTTTAAAACAGCAGGTTAGGCAACATACAGCAGCACACAATATATACAAAAAGTACAGGAATAATAGTTACTGCACAGAGTAACCATACTGCAGCATGTGTAAAGTGTTTCAAGGGGGAGACGCTACAGCTCGGGGGACCACAGAAAACAAGGGCATGTGTACTCATACCATCTAAACGCCTTGTAGTTTAAATATATTGTGTAGTATGACATCACTTTTCAAAACATCATTTCTATCATTTTATCAGTATAATGTCAAATATGAAATTGATGGTTTTACAAATTCCTTCCAAGCTTGTAAACACCTGTCATAGCTTGTATGCATGTTTTGAGAAGGTGGTGGGCCCTGGTTTCTCTTTAGCCCTCCTGAAACTGGAAATCATGTTGTTGATCTTTAGCCATCCTCCTCCTCTTCCCATATCTCTCTGTGTAACTCTTTCATTCATTCCATTACAAATCTGTCAGCCAAAGATCATCTTGTTCCCTCCCCTGCACTCTACAAATTCAGAAAAGGTCTTCATCTCCACCTTTGCCTGAGTCACACATGCTCGACCAGCTTTCTCTCCAAGTTTAAAAAAAAAAAAGCCAATTGTGAGTTTAAAGCAGGCACAAGTATTTTCTGTCTTTTGTCCGCTGTGACTTCAGTGGCAGGTTTTCTTGGGTTTTGGAGTTTGGCCTGAAAGATGTGCTTTCAGAGCAGGACCCTGAATAACCAGACCCTGAGTGTTAAAATACCAAAAGGAGCCAAACTGTTACCTCAAAAACACAATGAAGCACCTCTTTCTCTCCACAAAGGTACTGAACATGAAGGAGAAGCTTGTGGACACACACACACACACACACACACACACACACACACACAGTGACACTGTGATAGGTTAATGTATGATCATAACCAGAGATGGTGGGATGCAGAGTCAGACACTAGCCTTCACAGATCCAGAGACCTCTGAGTCCTTGTTTTTCTTAGCTGACCTCTTGGTACTATTGGAAACATACTCTGGAGATATTAATTGAAGTACTGCATGCCACGTCTGGCATAATCCATTTTTTTTTTTTAACCATAACAAAGATAAGAGGAAGTTAATCAAAAACAGCCTTTCTCAGAGCACTTACACCGCTGCTCAGTGTAGAGAAACTTTCATCACGTGAGAGCTTTCTGGCTTCAACAAACAAGCAGTCGTTCTCCCATGCAATCAGAATCCAAACTGGACCGCCTCTCTCGGTCCCAAATGCGTCTGAAAACAAAGAACCATTCTGGGATGATATAACTTACCAAGTGTGAAAAGAAAATACACTGCAGGATGCAGTCATTTCCGTCCCTGACCTCCATTGTAAGAACAATACAAGCCTTTTAAACCGGGGCTATCCTAACCCTAATGCTGATTTTCACAGACGTTATCAATCAAAGTTGTCGTCTGCCATTTGCCAAAGAGCATTCCAAGAAAAAGAAAACAAGAAAAAGCTGGGGCAGAAGATGTTCAATATCAGGTACTGTGGTCAGTGTACTGCTGGCTCCAAATGCAGCTTACTATTCTACAATTCACTTATCAGACGCTTTTCTCCAAAGCGACGTACATCAGAGAGTAAGAACAACACAAGCAAGGATCTAGAAAAAAGGGAACAATGTGAGTAAGAGCAAACGATCAGCTTTGAGTCTGATTGGACACACAGGTGCTGACAGGAAGTGACCAGAGGCAAAGCACAACATTGAGGGCAGTTCTTGAGAGCTCTAATCAGTATAGAAACCATCTTATAAGTCGTTGTTATCAAACAAAAACCATCGTCATTACCATCATCATCATCAATAATATGGAGACCATCATCATTAAGTTAGTAGGTATTCATGAAAGAGCTGGGTCTTTAGCTTTTTCTTAAAGGTGCAGAGGGACTCTGCAGATCACATGGAGTTTGGAAGTTCATTCCACCACCGGGGGGCGACATTTATTACATAAAGCCAGATATTTTCTTATAGACTAGTTTCCTGCAGCTTACAGTATCAGTATTTTCTCAGCATCCTGTAATGATATTTGCTCATAATGGGATTAAATGTTAATAAAATTGTCGACAGTCACTCAAACAGACCACAGAGTTTATCGTGTAAAGGCCTCTAGTTCAGACACTTACTATCAGCCAGTTAGATGTGATGCACTGACGCTCATAAAACACGCCTGGCCTCCTAGTTATCAAGAGAGGAGTTTTGCATTCACTGATTATCAGCCTACCAGCCCAAAGCCTTATATAATCTCATTTAATAAATCATATCATGTCTAGTTTACCAAAGCCATACCCATTAGCAGACTTTTGGGTAGCCTTTAAATTGCACAATATCAAAAGAGAGGAAGTGCAGTTGTACTGAATACCAGCAGGACACTGATTGGATAGGCTGATTGCCTAATCACAGCCGTGCTGATATTCAGCTCAATAGTATTAAGTGTGCGTATATTGCTTTTATCATACAGTTCTAAAGTGGCACATACTGGTAGTAGGGCTGGGTGATATATCGATATAAGATATAGGGTAAGACAACATGGTTAATATGGATTTAGTTTATGTTGCATTAACATAACGTTACAGAGGTGCCAGGTCCTTCTTCTCATCTCACTGATGATGACTGACTGTCTGCTCCTCCTCTCTCTCTCTTTTATTGGATTTAAAGAACATTTTTATTTTATAATATTACTTTTTAAATTCACAAACAGGTCGTTTATTTTTCCATGTGTTTTCACTGTTAATAAAAGACATTGATATATATCGAGAATCACCATTCAGCTAAACAATATTGAGATATGAGTTTTGGTCCATATCGCCCAGCCCTACTTGGTAGTCCATTTAAACAGTATTCAGAACACCTGGCTGTACTGGGGCGGAGGGATAATACACTTCCCAGTAATGTTATTCTCTACCAGCAGTGCTCGAATCTCTAAAGTCCAATTTGATTACTTGGTCAAAAGTTGGATGTGTTATAGTTCAGGCTGGGGACCAAAAATGAGACTTTAATCAAAGTAATGAATTCAGACATTTGGTACCTCTAAGTAACACCATCACAGGCTGGTTCTCTGTGTCTTTAATGGAGGCTAATAAGGCTACCTCTAGTAGCCATATGAAGCTAACACCACAGAGGTCACGTAGCACCTGGCGAAGCCGTCACGCCCTCACGTCATCACGTTCGAGGTTCACCTTTAGTCCATCGACGTAATGCGCACTTCAGTTACCAAAACCGACAGTTAACTGAATGTCCAACTTACCTTTGAAGCTGAAATGTGGAGCATTCATTCGATGTCCGGTGTCGGGGCTGTCATGTTGTGCAGAGAGGAAGTATTTTGTAACTATTCTCTGGATGACTTTGTACCCCTCCTCTTCCTCACATCTGCTCCTTAAGCTGAGGGAGTTCCTCCCATCCACGCTCCCTCAGCTGTCCTCCGCGCACCCACTCCTCACTCTTCCTACTGACTTTCATGAGTCAAAGGAATTCCCTTCTGGTTCTAATTAGCCGGTTTTTTTTATATTTTTGAATATTCGGTAAAAAATAAATAAATAAAAAACACGGAATAAGCTATAGACTACTTCCGTTTGCAGACATCTACTCTCGACCTCTTTAAAAGCCTAAACAACAGAGCTAATTAATTAAATAAATATAAAATGTCTTAAACTACAAAAGGATACGCAGAGAAGAAAAGCAAGCAAAAGATAAAAATAAATAGGTTACAATCCAAAAAACAAACCCAGACACAGATCAAGTTTGTGGGATAGGCTACTTGCAGTATTTCAAACGCAGAAAGAAACGTTTTTAACAGCTTTTAATTGTATTAGGCAACCAGAAGGGCAGTTGGATTTTAGACAATTCTACTTATGATCATTTCATTTAAACATCAAGAAATACAGAAACAAAAATCAAAACCACAGGAACAAGATCTTTCTAGAGGAGATGTTTTAACTAGCAAGTATTTCATACCTTGTTTTTACAAAATCCAGCATGTGAGACAATAAATAAATGTGTATACGCTGTAAAGTGTGACACTGCTGCTCTGGTGTAATCTTTCTATGTGCATTAGACGGTTAAATCCTGACTGCAGGGAGCTTTGTTTTCCTAAGATTAACAATTTAGGATTTATGATCCTGGAGACGCGTCGTGTTTGGCCAGTTTTGCTCCAACAAATATGTTCACTTATCTTTTTTTTTAACATCCTGACAACTCCTCCACGCTTGTAAAATGTTTGAGCAGGGGTAAAATATGCAGCCAGCCAAGGAGAGGTTGGTACTTGCATGTTGTAACAGAGAACACAGAGCGGCTCAGAGAAAGAAGAAAAAGATGCTCTCTGTCCGTCACTCCACTCCTTCTCCAGAAAACATGCCATCTGCTTCCAAATAATCTCATCTCTCCGTCTATCATTCATATCTGTTTTTCAGCAGGTTCTCTTCGGGGCAGCCTGAGAGAGGGTTGCTGTTGCTATGGTAACCACTCCAGCTCTTGGATGGAGCCCAGGGTTGTAAAAAGTGAAGAGAAAGAGCAAAGCCTGTTCTCCTTCCAAGTCCAAAATGTAATGGAAGGGGTCGGGGGAGGGGGGGGGGTGGGCAGTCGTCCAAGCCAACATTTGAACTCAACTACAGCGAGGTTATTTCAAAAGGGAGGACCCACAAGTCTATCCCTGTTCATTCTAGCCCGGGAGGAACTGGACCTTAACATCAGAAACACACGTTCAGTTTGAGACATGGGATGAAAAAAAAGAAGAAAAAAAAACAAAACAAGGAAGCAGCCAAGACCATAGTTGTTGTTTTATCAAGTTCATTTTGTCGCCTGGTTTTATCCCCCCTTCCAAAATACACGATTACATCACACTGAGCATGGGAAACTACTCCAAAGCAACACACAGCCGCAGAGTGTCTCGCTCATCTCTTTTTTATTGTCCACTGCAGACAAATTCATCGTTAGTTGAACATCACTCCTAAACAACACATGTTCTCTGAGAAACAAACATGTCCATGCAGCCAGCAGAGTGGAACTGAAGATCTGTTATCAAAGTAAAAAAAATAAAACTGTTTTAACCAGCACGACTATTTTATTTAACAATTTTGACCAAAACCTTGTTGAGGATCAGTAAATGTTTGGTTTTTTGTGCAGTACTGCTGACATTACAGTAGTCCAATCCAATGGTTAGTGAAGTTGACATGATACTTATTTACTTGAGAAAAAGTAAATAAATTTACTCGACATAAAACACGACCTCAAAAACCAAACGTGCATTTCACGCTCCCATCAATTGTCTGTTTGTCTCGGATGAAAGCAATGTCATGTCTTGGGAATCCTTGAAGCTATTTTGGTGATCCAGCTGGAAAGAAAGAGTCAATGCATAAAAGAAACCACTTTTTTTTTTTTTATGGCAACCACAAACATGTTTTATTCACATGAATGTATCTTTCACAAACACAAAGCGGGTGGAAATATCCAACTTCAGGGCTTCCTTGGTATTCTACAAGAAACTTGAAATGTCTTCCACTGGCACCATCTCTTCTATTTCATGGTCTTCTATCTCCACAATGAAAGCCCTCCAAATATTCATTCTATGTTACAATGACATAAATCAAACAAACAAACAAACAAACAAAGCATCATGAAAACGAGCTGAGAGGAGTAAAAGACGGCCGGGATCACAGCCTGGAGAGATAGAATGGGGACTTACAGAGAACCAGATTAAGAGCAACCAAGGCTAGCTGTCTTCAGCGAAATCTATTTTCCACTGCCGTCCATTGTGACAAGAATGACAGGAAAAGAGGGAGCAAAGTACTGGTTGTTTGAGGTGAGGATTAAGGGGTTTTACAGACCCTCATGGGGGTTTTTAGAGAGTTAGCCAAGCAGCTTGACTCCAAAGAACTCTACTGTTTTCCAAGGCTGTTGTAAACAAGCGTCTCTGCTGATGAAGTGGCAGGGTGATGGTCTGCATAAGCATCATCCTCCCTCGATAGACTATAATCCCACTGAGTATTTTGCGATGAGCCAGGTCCTTCTGGTGATGAAAACAACAGCAAGACCACATCTGATTTTTGGCCCATCAGGGTCTTTTCAAACTCAGTGTGAACACTTCCACATGGTGACATCTGGTTGGCAACAAATTGAGTGAGAAGTTTTGAAGAGGAAAATAAAAAAACAAACAAAAAAAAGCTTCTTCCCTGTGTCTCATCAGTTTTTTTAAAGTCGTTCAGACTTGATTGCTTTTTCAGACCGTAAGCAGTTGTTGACTTCTTTATGTTCAATCGAGACTGGTTAGGTGATGCTGTGATACTTTGTTGAGCCATACAGGGTCCTCATGTGGCACAGATGTGACAATCTGGACCACCTCGCCATTCTCTCCCTGTATGGCACCCTGGATGGCCTCTTTCACCTCCATGTCTGCTTGCAGGGCCGGGGCCAACTCAGCCGCCTGGAACACAAGAAACATAAGGAAAAGTTCACTCTTAAGTAGCAACAGGAAAATGTTTTGCATAGAGCAAAGAAGTGACAGGAGAGATCAGAGCAGAAATATATCAGGAGAAAAAGAGGCCGAGTGACAGGTGAAGAGAGACGTGATGAGTGATGAGCTTTTTGTGTTTTGATGCCCTCTGACTGTCTCAATGGTCCGCTTCAGACAGGAAGGTTTTGTGCGGCTTACAAAAAATCCTTAACAAATCATGAGAGAGGTTCATGACTCAGTCCTGGCTGATGACCATGAAGAGTGACTCACTCCTTCCTCAAAAGAATGCCAAAGGTTCCCTCAAACACACCTGCAGCATTTAATCCTCCCAGCCCAGCATGCTGTCACTAGACAACAGTGTAGAGTGGAGCACAGCTGGAGCACAAACACAACACAGAAAACATGCAATGTAACCACTGGTGGTCAAAAAAGTGCCAAGTCAAAGTCATGTACATAAATGTGTTTCACAGAGATAATGAAATGCTGGACATGTTGAACTGTGAGATCTCCACTTGTAAATACTGATGGAGAATCAGTTCTTTGGTTTGAACAGCATTCTTTTGTGCAAAGTCTCCTTAAGCTGGACTGTTAGAACAGATTTTAGACCAGAGCTGGAGATGAATCATGCTGCATGAAAATTCAGCCTCAGTTTTTTTTGCAAACATGCAAAAATTCCCTCTGAAATGTAAAAATATCACTCAGTGTCCCCCCCCCCCACTTTATCCACTTTGTGTGATGGAAACCATTAAATAAAGAGAGGGGGGAAAATGCAGAGATAAATAAATACAAAAGTCTAAGTAATTTTTGAAGAATTTGTATAAATGCTTCCACATGTCTGGAGACCGATGAGAGCAATTCTCTCAGTTCAACACTTTTCAGAGAGGGGAGAAAAGAACAGTGCTGACCTCTCTGTGAACTTCTGAACTCAGTCAGCAATGTTTACATGCAGGGACGTCAAAACCCGACTGTGATAATAACCCACCTGGATCCAGACAGGGTGATTATCAATCTCTATTTAACTCAATCAGTGTAATAAGCCTTCACAACACAATGTGACTGTTTAAATCTTATACAGTGAATCTTCTGTTCAGTGATGGAATACTGGACACATAGATTTGTAGGTTTATATTCTGTTAAAGGTTAAAGAGAGTCTATTTGAGCATACTGTACTCGCTGTTAGCAACTAGACTAGGCTAATCAGTCACTCCATGCTAAGTGCTAAGGCTAGCTCATTAAGTCAGTAGAACGCCAAATGGAGCAGCAAGAAATTCAGCCAGTCTCACAGATGGCTGGAGAAGATCCTGAAAAATAGACTTTGAATCCAGAATCGTTTTGAATCTAATATAGATTCTGAATCGAATTGTGACCCCCAAGAATCAAAATCGAATCAAATGGTGAGACACAAAAAGATTCCCAGCCCTGTTAGCAACAATCTGTTTTGTTGGAAGATTATTTTGGGACTGTAGTCAAACAGAAACAGTCTCTTAACGACTCCTGATCAACAGCGTATTGTTAATCAACAGATATTCTGTCCATGTGCCCTTATTGAACCCAGAGCTGATGACTAACTCTGGGCCAACTTTGTAGAGCTGTGTTCAAATCTGTGTACAATCAAACAACGGGAAAAATATCCTCTTCAAACAAATCAGTTAAGTAAACAATCAGTTTGACTGTGCCAAGCAACGTGGAGCACAGACCTTGGAACTACTCTGCACGGTGCGACAATCCTTTTCTTTTTTCTGTGCGAGTGCTCTTCAGACACAGTGTTTTGGAATGAATCAGTTTGTTCTTGATCCAAAAAAAAAAACTTAATACAAGATGCTTTAATCACCTCTGTACGCACAGGAGGAAGAAAACAATTACCTGGCAACAGAGAGACAACAAACCAACAACAAGACAAGGTCTAACTGAGAGGTTAGGTTGAAGTCTTCACTGAAAAATCCAAAACATGTATGCATTGGTTATCCACATTTGCTCTGGGCTAGTTGTAATGGGAGGAAAATGATCAATCACACAGATTAAGTCTAGAGGGAGATCTGGAGCAGGGCACCGCTGGTATTTCATACAGACACTTTCCATTTGAAGTTCTCTTTTGTTTGTACAATAACAACACAACACAGACTTGACTCACATCGGGCCGAAAGCGTAGAAAATGTTCAAACCCAAGGGAAAGATGTTAAAGGGATTAAAAAAAGCAACGGTAACATGCTGGTTTATTATATTATTTACAGGGCTAACCTGACCACTTCAAAGACAGCTGTGCCCTGTGTCTGTGCACCATCCTGACTCCACATGTCGCTGTGTTCTCTCAAGCAACATGGTGACCTCTCTTTTCATTTTAACACTACATCTACTCCACTTTTTCACGTGAAATATCAGTGGGCCCAAACAGCAGCCATAATGATGAAAAAAGAGAGTAACGCAAAGCTGACAAATTATAGTTATGTAGTTTAGCTTAAATGCAGAAATAAGACTCACAAAAAGAGAGAAAAAATCACAAGGAAGAAACGTGTAGAACTCCTGAAATTGTGTCTATGTATTACATGACATAACAATTAGGTCTGTTTAGAGGATGTGGATGAAGCTAAATGATTCATCTGATCTTGAGGGTACAAACATGTTGGAGTGATTTACATTCGTTCTTTGGTCTGTTTTATCTGAGACGATAGCTGCATATTGATAACTTTTAATGCAACCCAATAACAAACAATTGTGAACATGTGGACAAGATCCTGGGAGGTGTGTTTTTCTTTCTGTGTGTGTGTGTGTGTGTGTGTGTGTGTGTGTGTGTGTGTGTTGTTTTACCTGTACGGCGGCAGTGTGATCTGCAACAGGGGCCAGTTGGACGTACTGCACTTGGATGTCGGGGGGCAGGGGGGAACCTTCAACTGCTGTAGCCCCGCCATCAGCTGACGCCACTGCTATGAGCTGAGCCCCACGAAGCACCTAGGACAGACGAGGAGGGAGAGGAGAGAGAGAGACCATCCTCAACATTAAACATCAGTGACTTCATCTCCTCTTATTACCAAAAGTGTGAACCCCCCCCTTCATCAGCTGACTGGCTCTTCATTGATGTAAAGCACACACCGCTGGAAACAAGAACCAAATCAAAGCAAACAGCGGAAAGCCTCATGTCCTATCTGATGTGTTTATGTTCCTTTATTGATTACAGCCATCAGTGTGTACATGTGCAGTGTCGAACAAGAAACTCTGCAGCAAAGAACAAGTCACACGGGGTATCTGAGTGAAGTACATAAACATTTCAGTCCTGCTGTTTTCACTCCTTCTAATCCAGCGTTTTGTTTTTACATCGAGACTTTATGGTGCATTCAACTCAATTATAATCTTTACAAGTTTCTTTTCCTGGGCTTCATAACAAGATCTGCTCGTTTTATTTCATTTTAAGTCATATTTTGACAAAGATATATAAAAAAAAAGCCTTGGCAGAGAAACGAGTGAATGCAAGGGGGATCCTAATCTCGCCACAGCGTTGAAAGTCAGCCAGGCGACATCGGTGCTCTGCGGTTGTGACACACTAATTACAGAGCGGAGTGGGGCAGCTGCCGTGTTGTTGGGTATTCCTATAGTTTGTTGAGGCTATTCCTATAGATAGACTGCAACCGCAAAGGAGAGCGTGTGTGTGTTTTGATGAGTGGCTCACACACACACACATGCTCTGGGATTAGCAAAGCACTGTCGTTAATTTGAAATGTGACAACAGATTTACAAATTAACATACAATCATGCTGTCACCACGGACACACACACAGAGACGAATGGAGGGATACGTTCACTTAGGGGTTTTTGTGTCCTCATGTTTGTTTTAATGAGAGAAGAAGTCAGAGACAACACTACTATCCTCCAGTGTGTTCCAACAATAACTGTCTTAAAGGGGGAGGGGGTGCATTCCGACATGAACTGACAGTATGATCTCATTTTGATTTTTCCCTGTTTCAAGGCCTTGAACTGAAAACAGACCTCTTCCAGTGTCTTCTGTCTGGCAGCTTTCATATGTATGTTTTCTTTGTGTTCTTTCGTTGCGATGTCATGTGAGGTCTTGGTCTCCGGTTCAGACTGCTTCCAGCTGCATTCAGTGCTGGGACTGGCACAGGCATGCTCCACACAGACATTCAAAATGTTAAAGGAGAATATGCAAGCCTGCAGAAAAAAACCCAAACCCTCACACACAAACCACAATTACAGACGATGCTTGCCCCCTAACCCTTTCAATCCCAGAGTCCCACACTGCCTCCCAGCCCCCGGTCCAACCTTTGCTTTGAAGTTTTGAGTTAGTGACAGGCATCAAAGGTTCAGTTAACCCCCCACCCCCACCACCTAAAACCAACCAGCTTGCCTCGTCACGTAAGACACTTTGCCAGTTTTACCACAAAATCTGCCGCCTCATCACCATAATGCGCCAGGCACCGGCCGACCCGATGGAAGCTATTAGTTTTAAAAAGTCTGTCTGACTCACCCGATCAGGCAACCAGGACACTTCGAGAACAGACATGGATCGAGGCTAAGTGAGCGAGACTCTTTTTTGACTTCAGTCAAATGAATCAGTGTTTGATCTACAATAAAACATTCCTCATCAATTAGAGCACTGGCCCGGAGGACACGTGTTAGCAGTGATCAGACTGTTAGAGAAATAGTTTAACAAGTTAGAAAATAGGCTGATCGGTCGGAAAGGGAAATCAAAACCATCCGGCGGGCGATCGGCTGAACTGTTAGATTGGCTCAACATTAGCTTAGCAGATGGAATCACCTAGCTTGGCTCTGTCTCCGAACTTCTAAGAATCTCGTGGTATCATTGAATACCTTCATCATTGAATATCAATACACATCCTGGATGGAGGCGCCCTCCTGCACTCGCTCAATCCATGTCATCGATGTTCACTCGGTTAGTTTAATAAGAACATATCAACTTGCCAAAAAACAAAAAAAGCCAGCCAGCTGTTAAAGTGTGTCTTTATGGTCGACCCTATAGAAGTCAAACCGTATCCTCACACTTCATCAACTTGTTTCTTTTTGGGAATCAAATGTAGTGCCTGCCAAGTGCTCATCTGTTAGCATGTGTGTAAATTCAAACATGATTATGTGTCTGTATTGTCAGACTTGTGTATCTAAGTGTATAATTACCAGAGATCAAGAGATGCTACGGTTGATACCCGATATCGTAAACCCTTGTCTTATTCAATTAGATTCTCAACCTCCATTTGAGAGCAGTTTGCATTCTCAGCTGTGAGGAGTCGTACACAGAGGCTCGTAAAAGCATTTACAGAGTTGGAACGGTGTGTGAGATCTCTGCAGCGATTACACAGGAACTTCTCGGGTCCACATCCTGTCCCACGACTCGGTTCGTCAGACCATCTCGTCTCCACTGTTTGGGTGTGCTCATGTAGCGCTCGGCTTTCAGGAATAAACTCTTGTCGAATTAATCATCAGCGAAATCCATGCCCAAGACATGAACATCCAATGCACTAAAAAATGTCCAAAGATTCCCCCCCCCCCCATCAGCGTAATTTATTGGTTTGCAGTTTATGTTTACTCAAAAGGTTCAGAGTACAAATAAAAACCCCATTGAGCAACATTAAGTGTTTCTGTAAGCACTGATGATAATTACCTCTCATTCAGCTAATAGGATGTAATCATCATCAAGCTGGCTGGCAATGATGCACACAAAAAATAATTACAAAATTGCATCACGGAAAGGGTTTAAGAGGAAGAGGATTGTAGGGTCGAATAAACAACAAATCAATATTGTAAGACATGACATACTGCTACTCTGCTGAACAAGAGAAGAATTGTTTGCAGAGGCTTTCTTGGAGCAGATGACTCCCATGACACTCAGAAACTTCACAGCTTTGCTTTAATGCATCAGTTTTCATGCGAGAGCGGGGAGGACTCACTTAAAATGTACCCCACTATATTATCTTTGACATAGTGAGCTCAATATGTCACACACAGGGGCCATCATCTGATCTTAAGGGTATTAACTACTGCTGACCTCAAAGTTTGATGAATAGTAACCCTTAAATAATCAGCACTGACTGGCTGCCCAGCACCATGCTGGAGGTCCAGAGAGCAGAGCAGACAAGCAGGATTTAAGTGATGGGAAGATCCCTGAACAATCAAGAGCATCTTAAATTCTCCGCAGGCTTTGCTTGCTGCCATGGCTTCAGGAAAAAAAAGGGGAAGAAAAAAGATAAATCTTTGGCTGATGCTGTAATGCTTTCAGTAATGGATCCAGTACATGGAGAGGAAAGGCAGAAAAATGAACAACAGCAGCAGCTTGATGCAGAAAACATTCATGACTGCAAGTCTGAAAGACAATAACAAACTGCATAAACACTTAGCTACAAAACCCTGCTCTGTGCTTCTCTGACCATTACAAAATGTAGGTTTTCTCCTTTCATTTCACATGAAAGTATTTAAGAACGACTAAAAGATTACTTAACAGTAAATTCTCGTCTTCATTCGTTGTGTTTGCAAAGTTTTGTTTCTCCTGAAAATCTGCCTCCACAAGGCACATATTTTGCGCAGGCTGGTATTGATTTCCAGGCTCACAGGAGGTCTCAGTAAAACTCAGCTGTTCATCGGACGATGCTATGAGTCACTCGCTTCATGTGCATGTGTGTGTTGGTGTCGGAGGATTTTTTTTTTTCTGCTACACCCTTGCAGCAAATAAAGTAAATTCGAATCACCCACAGCAACATGATATCCTCTTTTTTTTTGTGCTTTCCGAAAAGGCAAATGTGGTTCCTATCACTCTCAAAGAATGCCTCCTCTTCCTCTTTTGTTTTCAGATGTGACAAAAAAAAAACAGGGAACGCAGGGAAATGTTAAAAGAAACATTTGGGCTTTGGAGTGGCTGGAACTTCCTCCCGGGTTCACAGCCGCCAACAACATCTGCATCTGCCAACACTGGACAGATGTCCAGGCAGAAACAATATCTCCGGGTGGGTAGGTGGTGTGGAGGAAAGTGGAATGGAAGGGGATAAATCCTGGCTGCGACTTGGCTGTAAATGTGCCCAAAGACACTGGGATGCTCTAATTGTTGTTTTTTAATGTAGACGGGTGAAACCGAAAAAGCAAGACACTGGCCTTCACACTTTTCACTGCAGCCATCAATTCTTGGCTACACAGGCTTTTCTTTTATTAGAAGACTGTTCAGATTTATATGGAAGCCCTACATTGACGTGCATCCACACACTGGATTTACTTACAAAGATCTCCACTTGTCATATGCCCAGAATAGCAAAAGCACAAAACAAACATAGAAATATGGTCTGGCCTACCACAGTTATGTTATTTGTTTTGTTTTGTTCCCAAAACCGCCAGAAAATGATCCAGTTATCACGAGAAAATAAGCTTTGTTATCTCGACGTAAGAAAAATAAGTTAAGATCCATGAAAATCAACAGACATTAACAAGCCATCACTGGGAAACCAGCATTGTTAACCCGAGTTAACGGGATAAATATGTCCACGTAGCCCTTCTGTAGATTTCAGCTTGGCCCAAGCTTATATATGATTGAACTATAAAAGTGGAGAAGTGACAAAAATGTCAGAAGCTGAGGTAAGACCTTAAAAAAAAAAAAAAAAAAAAATTCTATGATTTGTGATTTCTCTTATTTGTAAGTTACTGTTCAGTGTTTCCACAAGTGATAATCTCCTTACACACAACCTTTAAATTATTGTCCTGCTTGACCCCTGACCTTGTAGCCTGGCCCACTGCTTCCCATCTCCACCCACACACCCGGGTCCTTTCCAAATATCCACAGTTCAGTAGGCAGTACTTTTCAGTAAGGAGTTTCAGTATACTGAACCCTCGTGGTCATTTTTGGGTCCACCTCAGTATACTGAACATTTCAGTATGGATACTAACTTCCTGGTTTCATGCAGTATGGATCGGATGCGTGCTTTCAGGAAATTAATTGTATTTTA